ATATATGTACATATATTTATAATCTGTAGTATATATACATCTTTCCCACCCCGATGGTATTTTCTTACTCTCTTTGAGGATAGTTGATGTTCCTGTCCAGCAAAATTGTTTTCTTCTATTACCACCCATGTAATTCATCTCTGTAATCACAGGGAACCTATGACCAATCGAAAACTTTCCATATTCCTTCCCTTTCATGCCCCTTTCTTTGCATTGAACTGTGGCTCCTGCAAGTTTTTTCATATAAGCCCTTAAATCGTGAAATAACTGTGATTAATATGAAAAACTTAAGTTTCTTCGCTCCTCACACAAACCCACTTGGTTAGTAAAACGGTCCTGCCCACAATGCTGATTACCAGTGGACCACTTCAAACTTGTCAGGGTAGTGCCTCTACTAGACCTTTTGATTACAATGTATAATGGGCTGCAGGAAAAACAAAACACATAAGTCCTTACCGAGCCTGTGGAACCTATAAATGTTAACTTATTTGGGAGAGGGCTTTTTCAGATGCAGTTAAGGATCTCAAGATGAAGTCATCCTGGGTTCTCTAGGTGGCCCCTAAATCCAACACACAGTACCCGTGTAAGAGACAGTGAGAAGATAGAGACCACTACATGATGATGCAAATAGACACGAGTTATGCAGCCACAAGTCAAGACACTTACAGCCACCTAGACCTGGAAAATGCAAGCAAGAATTCTCCCTTAAAACCTTTGAAGGGACTGTGGCCCTGCTAACCCCTTGATGTCACGCTTCTGGTTTCCAGAACTGTGAAAGCATTTATTTCTGTTATTTTAAGCTTCTAAGATTGTGGTCACTAATTACAGCAGCCTCAGAGTCCTAATATATGATTGAAGACCAGCTTTAAATGCCCAAAGCTTGGTATAAGGAAGGCCCTGCAAAGTTCAGAGGTCCCACATAAAGTAACACAGTTAGAACCATTTCAGATCTATTAACTCTCCATCCATGTTGGTCCAAAAGTTGGTAGCAAATGAAGATGCAAAACATTTATAATGTAGAGATGTTACAAGGCCACCTTATTGAAATGTCAATGAAGAAATCCCAATACCGATAAGATTTATTAGCGTCTGGAACTAACTTAGTGCAACACTGGTGATTGTAATCTGCTTTTTGGATGACAAGTATGGCCTGTTTCTTCCTCACCCTAACCTCCCGTATGGCCACATTGCTGAACAGGAAGTCTACAAGCTGCCTCATGAGAACTACATGCTTTTCCCTCTGATAGCTCCCAATTGCCTAAGGATCATTGCCAACCTCCTTAACTAAGTGCAGCGGCCCTTCCTGATCTGCCTCCAGCTCACCTCCCAGCCCAGCATCTCACCTGGGCAAAATAGAAGCTGGGTGAATCACTGGTGGGTGAATAAACAGACAGGACTTAGGTTGCATACAGCTGTTCACACACCGAGGCCTGCCTCTCACAGCTAAGGCCATGCCCAGGGCTCATTTCTCCCTAGCAAGTAGAAAAGAGCCTGGCACATAGTAGGAGCCAAGCAAATGTCTGTGGCATAAAGAATGACTCTTTCCAACCCCCAAGCAAACCATTGTTTTAGATAGAAAACTGCATTGCATCTGATCTCTCTCTCTCTCTCTCTCTCTCTCTCTAACTGGTATATCTATATCTATATATCTATATCTATAGATATAGATATGATAGATATCTTGTGCAACACTTTGGTTTCTAAATTGAGAAAACACTATCACAAACTCTCTGTGTAGTCAAAGGTATCAGCCACTTACAGAACTCAATGTGGTAATGAGGAAAAGCATAATTTCCTGTGGTTTGACAGTAATGTGACAGGAATAGTTACCACTGCTCTGAATAGATCATGAACATAATTTGTCCCTCTCAGCTAACACTTCAAGCTCTGGAATGGTACAAAGGAATGTAACCCAGGCCTCAGCCAGCCAGGTGCCCCACCTCAGGATGACATCCTGTGCCCCTGATTTCACTTAGTTCTCTGAGGGATTTCAAAATTTGACGGACCATTTCTGTTTCCAAAAATCTTACAGTTGAATTAGAGTGAGAATGTGGATGGGAAATACTAAGGATTTGGCAATAAGAAGTATTTCTCTGGAAATGCAATATCTTAATCACAAAATCCTCACAAATGATACAATTGAGAAGGCTATTCATTCAGATCACTCCTAGGTCTTGGGCATGTCTCAGAGTATTGTAAAAAAATAACAGGCAAAAGTTATCATACACAATCTTTGTGTGCTGATCTAATATTTGATTTCAACATGGAGAATCAGTTGGTTTCCACCAAAGTTCAGTCACCATTGAGCTTGTTGAGAGATGTAATGTAATTTCTATAGACACATGTGGAAAAATGTCCAAACTAAAGCAAAGATCGTAAAACTCATTTAGAGATGCAAAGCCTATAGGTTCACCATGTATCCTACAAATGGAAAGGGATATTTCTCGGCTACTCAGAGTTGGATGAAAAGAGCATCTTCTAAGAATGGGGAACACACAGGCGGGGACTATGTCTTCTTATCTATGACATTATCTGGGTGGCAAATGAAATGTCTGACATATACTAGGCAGTGAGTAAACATTGGTAGAGTAACCTAATGATCCAGCTCCCTGGCCTAAAGATATGAGAGTATGTAGCTGACTGTAAATAATGACTCACATAGTCATTACCCACGACAGTGGCAAGTTAGTGTTCAAAGCTCTTTAAATATATTTTTAAATATTTTTAAAAATTGTGCTATCTATAAATGATATTCTCATGTTCAAAGGTACACAAAACAAGTATGTTAAATGGAGATTTCATCAATTAAGGGGGACAGAGTATACAAAAGTTTTCATATATGTTCATTACCTTGCAGGGCACTTTAGCAAGTGAAAAAACACACAACATGTGTCCCCAATGAATGTAACCTGCACAGCTCCGCCCACAAGTCCCAGAACCCAAGAATAAGTATGGCACTAGCAAGAGACTGTGAGTAGGAAGATATAGGACTATCCGAGCATCCAAGGAAAATATAAGCCAAGCATATAGATAGGTCTTAGAAACATATTTTCTCCTCAGCTTCTTCTTATATCTGTTCCTGAAATTGGTAATTAGTCCTTTCTCGTTATGTGCAAATAAAATATACTTGAATCCCAAATTGGTGTGTTTAATTGTCTTACATTGCAATGTAAGCCACTCTGGAAAATGCAAAAGGAGGAGAAGAAAGAGATGGAAGAAGAGGAAGAGGAGGAGGGAGGAGAGGGAGGAGGAGATGGAGGGGGAGTGTAAACCAACACTCAGCATTATGGGGAGCGGTGAGGAGAATATTTTTCTTATTCTCTTGCTAAACCAGTGAAGGGCTCTAGGGTAAATGAAGTGTGGAGTGCTTAAAAATTATTAAACAATGTTTAGATTTACATTCTTGAGTAAAGAAAGACTCGAGATATTTTATTTTTATTTTTTGGCTGATTACAGCCATATTAATGGCTTCCAAAATGCAGGGTTCTTTCTAGTAAGTATGATACTGGGCCCATCCACTTAGAAATGATAAAGAAAATTTTCATTTTGTATCTTCAGGAGATGCTTCTTCAGGGGGAAATAAAGGGATCTTCCTCAAGTTTTAAAGCTGGCAAGAGAAACTGGGAGTATAGCTCAGTGGAAGAGGGTTTGCCTGGCATGCATGAGGTCCTGGGTTCAATCCTCAGCATGTCAAAAACTAAATAAATAAAGGCGACCTAACCCTGATTCCAAGAGATAGAAAAAGCCCGGTAGAGCTAAGAAGCAACTCCATATTTGTAAGACTTTGTGTGCTTGCAGGCGACACCGCCCCCCCCCCCCATGTTCCGTACAGTGAGCCTATAAT